CCAAGTTTCACGCGATGTCTCGGCAAATCACACACTACTCCTTATTTATTTGTTCACAGCAGTCTTGAGCCAATCCTTTACCATCGCATCACAACGAACCTAGGCTTCCTGTTGCGGACCATCATCCGGCTTAACAAATGTCCCAGAGGCGAAACCAAACTTGTTCTTGGCTTAAAGAGCATCTTTCATGTCCCATATCCATTATCCATAATTTGAGGAAGTTAATAGATTTCCCACCTACAGTTGACCAGGGTTGTTGGATAAAGGCATATGATAAACCAGAGGTAGCGGATCATTGACGCTGCCGCCAGTAGCCCTTGCGGTAGTAGGATATTTTATCGCTCCTGTCCAAAGTGTGCTCTCGACGGTAGATTCGTCGTCGATAGCCATGATCGAGCTTCAAGGATAGGGATCCTAGCGCTCTGATACCATGTAAAATATGATAATAATAGAAAAACTGTCATAAACTAGTTGGTGCCGATGACTCAAGTTGTTGGGAGAAGGTTATGTTGGATCTTATATCACTCTCTAACAGGCCCTCTCAAACGAAAGCCCACCCATGGGCTTGATGTTTGGACAGGCGATTACCATACCTTGTGCTTTAATCAACTACTAATATTGGGGGTCGTGGAGATTCGAACACACGACCACTTTTCCAAACCAGCTCTGATACCATGTCATAAACTAGTTGATCCCAATAACTCGAGTTGTTGGGATAAGGTTATACTGGATCTTATACCACTCTCTAACAAAAACAAGACGAGTTTAACATGGTATCCTCGATCAATTGATTGATCGAGACTAATCCACGGGAGAGTGAAAACACTCTCTGCCTGCAGCTCTTATTGATTATATGAATTGATGGCCGAAGCCTTTTGGTTACATAAACATATATACCCTCTTTTACAATACGTAACTAGGGTTTCACACTCGGGAGAGGTGTTGGCCGAGACGCATGCATGGGCATCATGGGGTTCACATGGTCCGTCCGTGGGCTGAGCAGCATAGGTCGAACCACCATCCAATATCCTGTGCCATTCTGAACGCCAAGAGGAACATGAATGAATCTTAATCTAAACCCAAATTGTTGTCGGTATTTAGACTTACTTTACAGGGTATTACAATTGAATTACAAGCTGCCAAAGAAACCAAAAGCCTCCTACAAAGAATGCACAGACCATGTCCAGATTACAACTATACAACATATATACGGGAAGAGGAAAAAAAAAAGAGTAGTGTTAAGTATCCTGACCATTCACGGAGAAATCATTTAGCATCTAGCTCCCGGCACTAAGGATCTCGGCTTAGCAGCTTGTTATTTTTATTATGATTTAATTCAACTTCCAACCAGTCGCAACTCAACAGCTATGTATGCCATAGCCTTTTCATTGGTAACGTAGGGTTAGGTTTGAATAAATGGACATAAGCCCAAAGGACGATGTGTTCATGCACGTGGGCCTGGTCCCTTTACACTCCCCCTCAAGCAGGTCATGAAAATCACGAAGGCAAAGCTTAGACCAGAGATAAGAGAAGTGATCTGCACCCAAGCCTTTTGTGAAGATGTCGACTACTTGGTGTTGAGTGGCTATCTTTTGAGGTGGTATCTCGTGGAACAATACACGTTCCCAAACACAATATCAGTCCATTTCCATGTGTTTAGTACATTCGTGGAAAATCAGATTAGCTGAGATGTGCAAAGCGGCTTGGTTATCACAATGAAGCAAAGCCGAAGTATGAAGCTTCACATCGAGGTCACGCATAAACCATCTAACTCATATAACATCACTAACCGTATGAACCATAGGCCGATACTCAGTCTCAACAAATTACCGAGCAACAACAGACTGCTTCTTGGTGCGCCATGAGATCGGGCTAGAGCCAAGATTGATAAAAAATCCAGAGATAGAATGTCGTGTTTGCTAACAACCGGTCCCATCTACATCACAAAAGGCATTAAGGGATAAGGAACCAGCCTTTAGAAAGAAGAGGCCCTTACCAAGAGTGCCTTTGAGGTAGCGCAAAACTTTGTGTGCAACATCCATGTGGGTCTGGCTAGGCGAATGAACTATTTACTCAAGATATTCACCGTATAGGTGATGTCAGGACGAGTTACCATCAAATAGAGAAGGCGGCCAAGGAGTTGTCGAAATGAGGAGGGATCATCAGCCACCTGGCCATCGAGTCGAGTTAGATGGTGATTTTGTTCAATGGGAAACTCACATAGCTGAGCTGATCCTGTGCCCCAGCATCACGCAAGATGTCCAATGTATATTTTCGTTGGTAGAGAATCATCTCGTTAGAGGAATAGCGACCTAAATCCCAAGAAAATATTTCAGAATACCCAAATCCTTAAGACTGAACTTCCGGTGAAGATGATCCTTTTCATTTTAAATAATTGACATGTCATCTCCACCAAGGATCACGTCGCCCACATATATAAGGGCGAACACAATAGCTCTACCACAAAAAAAGTAAATAGAGAATGTTTTGTTCGGGAAGGAATAAAACCGAAATGTAAGAGAGATTGTGTGATGCCTGCTTCAATACATAAAGAAATTTCTGAAGTCGGCAAACATGTTGATCGCCAGGTTGTGCAAAACCTTTTGGTATATGCATATATACTTCCTTATGAAGGTCGCCATGAAGGAGGACGTTATTGACGTCCAACTGATGTAGAAACCATCCACGGTGAGCTGCAACGGCCAAGACAAGTCAAACAGTAATCAGCTCTGCCACAGGGGCAAAAGTATCATGATAATTGACGTCCTCAACTTGTGTAAATCCCTTTGCAACCACATGATCTTTGCAATGCTCAACATAGCCACCGTTGATATTTGATCTTGTAAACCCATTTTGAAGAAATTGTATTTTTGCCACGAGGTAAAAGACATAGATCCCAAGTGCCATTTGCTTCCTGAGCATTCATCTTGCATTTCATTGCATTCCTCCAAACTTGGTATCATACCACCTCATGAAAGGAACGAGGCTTAGTAATTGCCTCAATAACTGCGACAAAGGCCTTGTAATTAGGTGACAAATGGGTGCAATTTTCTACGGTGGAAATGGGGTAAGTAATATGGGTGGTATCACAAGAATGAGAAGTAGGTAACATGACTTGATAGTCCTTATAGAGATCCACAAGCAGGACACGATTCCGAGTGGGGTTGCGATGGACCTCAGCCTGCTCTGTAGTCTCGTATAATCAAGATTGAGAGGCAAGGTTTCCTCATTGGAATCATCATGAGGAGGACTGTCGGGTTCGGTCTTATCATTATCGCCCGGAAAAGTTGGAGGAATATCCTGCGAAGTGTCATCAGAAGCAACATCGGGCACTAGAGGCGGCAAGAGTTTCAAGGATGTCGTATCCAAAGTCCTATAAAAATGGAAAACACCCTCACAAGAAAAGTATGTCCCATGAAGTCTAAACTCGATGACTATTGAGATCAAAGAACCATATCCTTTTTGTGATGCGGGATAACCCAGAAAGATGCATTCTCGCCCCCTATCTTTGAACTTATCCAAGTGAGAAGATGTATTCTTCGCGTAGGCTAAACATCCAAACACACGCAGATGATGATACTGGGGAGGACGGCCAAAGATTTGCTCGAACAAGGTCTTGTTTCCAAGGACAAAAAAAAGAGGATCTAATTAATCAAATATGTGGCGGTCAAGATGCACTCACTCTAGAAAGGGGAAGATACCCATGGAAGCGAAGAACACGTAAAACCTCTATAAGATGATGGTGCTTACGTTCTACGACACCATTATGTTGCGGCATATTCACACAAGAAGTCTGCAAGATGATACCCTCATGTATGAAGAAATCCTGTAACTGAGTGGCTTGAAACTTAAGACCATTATCCGCCTGAATACGCTTTATCGAGTGATCACATTGACTAGTTGCTTTCTAGCAGAACATGATCAAGTGACGAGGAGCGTCAGATTCACAATATAGGAGATAAACCCAAACACTTCAAGTAAAGTCGTCAACAACAAGAAAGTGGTGAGCACTACTCAAGGAAGGGACCTTCTGTCCACCCCAAATATCAATATGAATTAACTCAAAAGGTCGATGTCTGTGAATCATACTCAAAGGGAAAAATAATCTTGTCTGCTTTGCTCATAAAAATGATGAGCAAGGCTCTTTATTATGTCTACTGCCATGAGATTTCAAATACAGCTAATGTACTTCTCCGCGGAAGGATGTCCCAAATGAAAGTGTAGAGGCTCGACGATATAGCTTCTTGCGCAGCATGGACCATAGCAATGTTCACATCATCGAACAATCGCAAATAGTAAAAACCATCCTTCTATTTACCTATCCCAATCGGGATCCTGGAATTTAAGTCTTGGATAATACATAAGTCATGCAAGAAGATCAGTGCCAAAGGAAAATCTCTCGTGAGCTGACTGACTGAAAGAAGGTTGCATGTAAAATGAGGGACTCGTAGAACGTGAGGGAGAACCATCCCATTTAACAACCGCACGAAACGAAAAACTATGAATATGAACGTTCACTGCATTAGGAATGCAAACCTGGAGGCCAGTTCCTTTCACAAAATCACCTTGGGATAACATAGAAATATCTTTCGTAATTTTTTGGTTGCAGCCTGTATCAACAACCCAATAAGAGAGTCAGTAGAGCGAGTACCTGTCATCTTTCCACTAAGATCATCAAAACCTTTACTGTTGGCCGAGAGAAAAGATTTAGGTTGTTCGAATTGTGTTGCGGACATACCAGGAATGGGGGTGTCAGTCGATGCAACGTGGTTGGATTTGGGCTCGTGCCACGCAGGTGCGAAATTTTGGAGGCGTCCTCCCTTGTCATCCACAATTTCGCCCTTATCATTATTTCCATCAGTGGCGCGTTGATAGACCGTTATTTACACATGTTTTTACCCCTGCTCTTACTCCGTTTGAGGTATTGATTCTCGTGTTTTAGGCCGATTTCACGCTAGGTGGTGCTTGTTTATGATATTTCAGGTCCTAGTACGTGAATGGAGGCTTGGGAGCGAGTTTGGGGTCGATTGGACGAGGATCGGACGCATGGCGAGGTTCTGAGGAAGTCGCACGGGCACACCCACAACCCACACGGCCGTGCAAGTGACCAGTTTGGCCGTGTGGGATTGTGCGAGAGCAAACACGGGCAGAGCAGAAAACCCGCACGGTCGTGCGAGGATGTATGTTGGCCGTGCGGAATTCTGCGAGGCCAAACACGGGCACAAGTGAGATCCACACGGCCGTGCAAAGTGCAACCCTGGCCGTGTGAGATGGTTGAGGATCAACTTAATGGTACGCTGCGTTTCGACTCGCACGGGCAAGATGGTGAGCCGGGGAATTCTGGTTTTTAAGCAGATTTCAGCCAAAACAGAAGACAGAGCTGGGTTTTGGATCCCAAACACCCAAGGGACGAACCAAAGAAAGAGAGGACGATTTGAGGGCATTCTAAGAGTGGAATTGGAGGGTTTCTTCGCCTTGGAAGCTCGAGGAACAAGCACGGACTTGAAGATTGATCATCTGAAGATTCTTACTGCAGTCTCTCTCTTCTCTATGGAGTAACTTCCCTTCACTTAGGTTTTGAGGAACCCTAGCTATGTTTGGTTGATTGGATGATTGTATGAGTACTCTGACTTGATAATCTTGAGTTCATATTCAATCTATGCATGTTTTCACGATTCAATTCTGCTTTAGTCGAGATTATTGATTCTGCTTTGATCCTATGAGAGCGAATACCTGATTAGGTCAATAGAGCACCATAGATTGATAGTAGTGGATCGATTGCTTTAGTCGAGGGTTGATTCACTGCTTTGTATCGATTGAGAACCTCATTCGATAGAGGGAGTCTAGTTCAGAACGCCTTGATCGATTGTTCTAGAGAAGGATACGTCCCTCTAGGCAATTGACTCAAGAGGGCCTTGTTCCTTTAGTCGAGACTCAAGGTCTAGTTAAGGATTCTCCGCATTGTGAATGAAAGTGAAACATGTTAGAGATCATCAATCGTTAATCTGGCTAGTGGCTAGGGGGAATCATACCTAAGTGAGTTCCCAACCTGTAATTAGATTAACTTTAACTGTAGTTTGCTAGAGTAGTTTTAGTTCTTTCATCTTAATCTGGTTTGCTAGATAATGAACTGAAGCTGAGTAATAGTAACTCTAGAGACCCGTGGATTCGATATTTATTACTTGAGCCACTATACTGCAGTCCCTTTCATTGGTTACACTTGGCCATTGTTAGGAGTTGTGTCATAGCGAGTCAAGTTTTTGGCGCCGTTGCCGGGGACTTTCTAGAGTATTAGGAAAGGCAGAAGTTTGTTACTTTAGCGTTTTTCTTTTCTTTTCTTTTCTTTTCCACCCTTGCTTTTCACTTGGGTGTTTTTGTTTTTGTTGGTGCATATCTGAATCATGGATCCTCATGGCTTCTCCAACCATTGGCGGTATCCACCACCATCCGAGTGGTATTACCCCGAGACCCCCTGGAGCAATCAAGGAGGTGAAGACTATGGATTCGGGTTCCAGTACCAACCCCCTTACTACGGAGAACAATATGACCCCTGGGCATATCAAGAACAATCTCATTACCAAGAAGACTTTCTCCCACAACCAGAAGGGCCATCAGCGCTGGAGTTACCCATGGCGGCCTTCACGGGCCATTCTGCAGAGCCATGCTACACTCCACAGCCAGATCCAAACTATGAACTGAGGCTTCTCATGAAGCAGTTTGTTCGGGACTCCGAGAGACGCAATCGCAAGATGGACCTCCTTTTCTCATCCTTTGCTCCTCCTAACTCTTCATCCCTCCGTGAATCGGAGGAGAATGTTTCGCACTCATCAAAGCAACTAGAGCGGGTTGAGCAAGTTTGTGCACAACTTGCTCAAGATCACCCGTCTGCTACCATACTAGAAGAGGACGAGGAAGAAGAAGGCTACAAGGACATTGTGGAGCAAACAGAAGTTATCACGGAGAGCTCCCGTGAAGATCATGATCAAGAATGTCCTGTCGTAGCCGACCACCCCTTCCCACATCCCACACTTAGCTTTGAAGAGGTGGGCATGAGTGAGGAGATGCAAGAAGATCTCATGAAAGAAATTGCTTGGCAACTTGCTCTCCAATCCGTGCTAGAAGAAGAAGAGCAAGAAAGGGTGCAGAAAGAAGTTGTGGAGGATGACGAAAGTGAAGCAGGAGGAGTTCTTGATCATTTCCCAGGGGTGATACCACATGAAGAAGAAAGGGAGGTTGAAAAATCAATTGGCGTCCAGGCTGAGGACGGAGTTGAGGTGGAAGAGGCTTGCACCGGCCATGAGTTACTTGTGATATCTCCACCAAACTTCGAGGAATTGCTCAGCAAGGACCCATTTGCAGTGTCTCTTTGCCAGACCAAGGCCACGTCCACATCAGTCCCTCTTGGTGGACGCGATGGTGGCCAATCGATGCTGTCTTATCTGGTTTGGGGCAATGAGACGAGAGAATAGAAGAAGAGGTCTCGAGGGTGGAGACTTCATCTGCATTAAGTGCACGAGCCTTCATCACCTGCCACACCACCTGCTTGTGACTTGAGACTCCACCTCATCGACGAGAACCTCAACTTCAAGGAGGTTCTAGCATGGACCGAAACTTAGGAGCCATCGTCCGGCTCACAACGTGAAAGAAGCGCTTGTTGGGAGGCAACCCAACCAGTCGGTTCGCATTTCCTTCTCTATTTCTCCTCGGTTGAGTCAGTTTTGTTATTTAATTTTAGAGTCAATAGCTCAACCTTTGTGAGATTTTGTGTGGTGTTTGTGTTCTGATTACTCTCTCTTCCTGGAATGCACCGCCTGCCCCGTCCATCATCATTCACCCTTGATCTGGTAACTTCGTTCTACCCTCCTTATCTTTCCTCCATTGAGGACAATGTCGTGCTTAAGTGTGGGGGGGTGTTCGATTATGTATGCGGGTGAATGTTTGGCTGTTTGTGTGCTTGGAGCCTAGTCCACTGTCCAAATTTTTAAATTTTTAAATTTGAGGGCTCCAAGTACGTGTTCCTTGCAATTGCCTGCTCAGTATGCTTTGAATTGACAGTCTCTGTAGTGATTTGCAACCTAGGGAGGTAGTGTAGCACTATGGAGGATGTTGATGCATTTAAGAAGTCTCATTTCTTCTTCATACTGTGTTGGTTGATTGAGTGAATTAGTGATCTTAGGACCCTTTAATTGTGTGGTGTTGTGGACTCTCTACCTATCGTGGACTCTTGTATCATGTTTTGAAAATAACAGGTGCTCGAAAATGTGCTTTAAAATAACGTCTCCCGTGCGAATAGGGCGAAAGTGTGTAAGGGGAGACGAGAATCTGTTCCCAATTTCCACCTACTACCTCCAGCCTCCTTACATGTCTTTCCCCCGCACGAGGCTCGAGACAACTGCTCCTGGCATGGCCGGTAAGAGCCGGGCTCCCGCAAAACCTTTGCTAGGTGGGAGCCCTCGTTTTCTGGAGAAAAACAGGTTTGAACCCTAGAAAAAAGAGAGAAAAACAGAAAAAAAAACAAGCAAAAAGAAGGAAGACAAGGGGTTCCAACCAGCTTCAAAAAGAAAATCGAGCACCTGGAATTAATGTGAGTCCATGATCTTTGTTTTTGAGAGTCTCTGCATCCACGATTCATTTGTCCTCTGTTCACTACTTACCATGATGCCGACTCGGGACTTGTGTTCTCGCCGAAGAAGTTATGAGATGACTTGTGTGTCGGTTGACCTCGTAAGCTGCTAAATGATCTAGGAAGTCCTCTACCTACGATCGAGGTTGTTTGTTGCTACAGAGGTCTGGAGAGTTGCATTGGTTTGAGATAGGTTTGCTTGGGGACAAGCAAACGGTTAAGTGTGGGGGAGTTTGATAGACCGTTATTTACACATGTTTTTACCCCTGCTCTTACTCCGTTTGAGGTATTGATTCTCGTGTTGTAGGCCGATTTCACGCTAGGTGGTGCTTGTTTATGATATTTCAGGTCCTAGTACGTGAATGGAGGCTTGGGAGCGAGTTTGGGGTCGATTGGACGAGGATCGGACGCATGGCGAGGTTCTGAGGAAGTCGCACGGGCACACCCACAACCCACACGGCCGTGCAAGTGACCAGTTTGGCCGTGTGGGATTGTGCGAGAGCAAACACGGGCAGAGCAGAAAACCCGCACGGCCGTGCGAGGATGTATGTTGGCCGTGCGGAATTCTGCGAGGCCAAACACGGGCACAAGTGAGATCCACACGGCCGTGCAAAGTGCAACCCTGGCCGTGTGAGATGGTTGAGGATCGACTTAATGGTACGCTGCGTTTCGACTCGCACGGGCAAGATGGTGAGCCGCACGGCCGTGCGGCATGCCCGTGTGAGTCGGGGAATTCTGGTTTTTAAGCAGATTTCAGCCAAAACAGAAGACAGAGCTGGGTTTTGGATCCCAAACACCCAAGGGACGAACCAAAGAAAGAGAGGGCGATTTGAGGGCATTCTAAGAGTGGAATTGGAGGGTTTCTTCGCCTTGGAAGCTCGAGGAACAAACCCGGACTTGAAGATTGATCATCTGAAGATTCTTACTGCAGTCTCTCTCTTCTCTATGGAGTAACTTCCCTTCACTTAGGTTTTGAGGAACCCTAGCTATGTTTGGTTGATTGGATGATTGTATGAGTACTCTGACTTGATAATCTTGAGTTCATATTCAATCTATGCATGTTTTCACGATTCAATTCTGCTTTGGTCGAGATTATTGATTCTGCTTTGATCCTATGAGAGCGAATACCTGATTAGGTCAATAGAGCACCATAGATTGATAGTAGTGGATCGATTGCTTTAGTCGAGGGTTGATTCACTGCTTTGTATCGATTGAGAACCTCATTCGATAGAGGGAGTCTAGTTCAGAACGCCTTGATCGATTGTTCTAGAGAAGGATACGTCCCTCTAGGCAATTGACTCAAGAGGGCCTTGTTCCTTTAGTCGAGACTCAAGGTCTAGTTAAGGATTCTCCACATTGTGAATGAAAGTGAAACGTGTTAGAGATCATCAATCGTTAATCTGGCTAGTGGCTAGGGGGAATCATACCTAAGTGAGTTCCCAACCTGTAATTAGATTAACTTTAACTGTAGTTTGCTAGAGTAGTTTTAGTTCTTTCATCTTAATCTGGTTTGTTAGATAATGAACTGAAGCTGAGTAATAGTAACTCTAGAGACCCGTGGATTCGATATTTATTACTTGAGCCACTATACTGCAGTCCCTTTCATTGGTTACACTTGGCCATTGTTAGGAGTTGTGTCATAGTGAGTCAAGCGTTGCGGCCAACCAATTAATTCAATGCACCTCTCGCGAACATGACTGTGCTTCCCACAATGTGAACACTTAGGCCCCGTTTAGTATTATTTTGTTGTTGTTATGGTTGTATTGATGTTGTGCAAACACATGCACAACCACAACAAGAAAAAAACAGATAACTCAAACCTGTTTAGTTGATAAATATGAGAAATTATAAAAACTCACAACAAAAAACAGAAACGCGTTTAATTACTTCTCAGTAAAAACTAAAAACCCAAAATCAGCATCGAGCAACCTAATTTCTAGTCAACAATTGTTATTAGTAAATAAATATGATCACAATCCAAGAAAATTGGGCCTCGGTTGGCAAGAGCAAGTGACATTTCTTTGCTGACAATTACATGGGGCTTGAAAATTCCTCTAAGAGCATAAGTGAAGGGAATGGACCAAAATCTGCATATCCCGTTCCAGTTCCAGAAATTAAAGGAAAGAACCAAACTAAATCCCATGCTTCTTTCGATTATCAAAAGCGAATTCCCGGGGGAAAAAACTGTTCGTAGGAACTGTGAAGTCCCAAACTTCACGGTTTCACGAAACCTAAAGAGAGGCGAGCGGCGAGATGGTGCGGCGGCGGAACGAGCGAACGACGGGGTCTGATGCGGCGAAGAGCTTGAAGGATGAGCGCTGGCGGCGGGTGCAGCGACAAGACAGGGATGCCGGAGGCAGTGGCGTAGCCAGGAATATTGTTAAGGTGGGTCAAAAAAGAAAATATATTATAAATTATATTAATCATTTATAATGATCCGTGACGTGTTTTCATAATCCGATAAAATACATTCATCATCCAAACTATCAAGAATGTCACTCTCAATGTAACCAACCAAAAAGTCGCTCATGATGTCATCACTCATCCTATTCGGAAGTGTGTTTTCACATAATTCATTGCAAAAGTGATGTCATCACTCATCCTATTCCAAAGTGTGTCATCACTCGACAATTCCTTTTAATCCTTCTGTGAATTTCGTTTTGTACAAGGCACTAGCTACTCGCTGCAGCTTATGTTTTGGGGAGGAAAGTTGAAAGGGTTAGGGATTGGGATGGGTCGGGGACAATTGGCGAAGTCTAAGAGTAAATGCCAACATGTCACATTTAGTCACTCTTCTATTAGTTTTCGTCCAACTTCATTAATGGGAGAGTAACTAAATGTGACATGTTTTAGTAATTCGAGTGTCTAAATGTGACATGTTCCAGTAATTCGAGTGACCGGAGTTGGACGGAGGCTAACAGGAAAGTGACTAAATGTGATATATTTCAGTAATTCGAGTGACCAAAATTGATATTAAAATTTTCTAGTGACTAAACAAGACACGATTTAGTAATCTCAATAACCAAATGTGATATTTGCCCTCATTTTTAATATTTGTAATCTTAAAATAGCAATAAATAATCTAAACCTTCACTTAAACTCAACATATAACCAATAGCGTGGTGGATGAAGCCTTGTTCCGATACAAGGCAGGTTAAGACAGAGGTCGACTCCCCTCCTTGCAAATCTTGTATATGTATAATTTTTGGGATTTCTCAAGGCCAAGGGAGTGCAGGCGACCTCCCTTGGTTGCATGTGGCTCCGCCACTGGCCGGAGGGATCGTCGTTCCTCTCAGAGAGGAAGAGGATGAGCAGCGGCGGGCGAGTTTTTGTGGCTGAAAAAATAATGGAACGGTTGAATGGCGAGTAGGGTTGGGGCCTTGTGGAGGGTTTGAAAAAAATAAACAGAATTTCCGTATGTGAGGGGACTCGAACTGGGGGTTAGTTTAATGAAATCAAAGACACAACCCGTAGAAATCCCGTGTTAAACATGTGTACGAATCAGATCCAAAGCAATAATTTATTGTTTCTTTGATTTGGGCCTGGTTGTGTAACTCTGTTTCACAACAAAAATTAAAATCCTAATTAAACATGTTTTTTTCTCCTCGGTTTCTGTAATTTTATAAAACACAACAGAAAACAAAAACAAGCAACAATACTAAATGGGCCTTAGTTTTTTCTGTGTAATGACTCTTATCATCTTGGACAAGAAAAGCAACCGCATCTGGAGTGGGGACGGTGCGAGGCGGCGTTGTTGAGCATCTTGAGAATCCATTTGGTACGCTTCAGAGACAGTGGGCATAATTTTCATAAAAACATCTTTTGTTTTCAGTGTTAATAAAAACCAAGAAACAAGCGAGACATATAATAAATATAGTTAAATTATTTGAGCAATCGAGGTTTTTCCTCTATTCACAACTTCATTATAGCTAAAATGTGATATAATTAAAGTTAAATTCTAAGTAATTCGAGTGAAGTTATGTGTAATTTTAGGTAAAAACGGGTCGAGAATGGAGCGGGTCAGGGTAGGTTAAGTCGAGGAGACTTACCATTGATGGGGTAAATTGAGTTATAATCCTAGGATGCCTTACGGTATTCCACAGAGCCTTCTAATTCATAACTACTCACACTATATCATCTATGCTACACGAAATAGACAAGTATCTTTAGGAGTTTTCATTCGAATAACAAGCAATAGAAAGTAAAGCAAAGAGAAATAAAGTTGTTTAGAGGTTTCTCAAGTTATAGATATATAAAAGTAAAGATATATTATTGTATAAGAAGGTAAATCTCGAGCATACTAAAGCTAAACCATATCATGCATCAATGACTCATCTATAGCATCGTTGTATCCCTACTGCTAATGTCATTCTCTATCGGGGCATTCACTTTTTTGTGATAGAGATTTAACTATTGAATGGGTGTTTTTGCTTCCTGTCATCACCTAATTAATGAAGAACAAAGAAGTTAGGATAACACATGATTAAGTATGAACCTCTTGAGTCATAACCGATGGTCTATAGCATCAATGATCTAACAATCAAGCATTGATACTAATCAAGGTATAATGGTTGATCATTCCCTCTATACTCATGTAACATCAATGAGGTATCACTAGAGGGTAATTTCATAACCTAGATGATACTAAGCACAATGCATATAGTAGCACACTATACAGTCATAAGCATTGATGATAAGAAGTATTGAACTATATAAGCATCGATATTATACACATAGGCATTGAAACATAAAGCATCCATGCATACATATAGGGCATAAAAAATCACAAGCATCAACACAAGCATAATATGAAATCATAGCATCAATATGTACAAAGATAAACGAGTTCACATCCTCATACAATCTATTTCAAACTAGCTAAACATAGAAGAGAAGGAGGGTACCACAATCGATGATGAAAACATCTCTCTAGCTGTACCCTCTCCTAAGAATGTTAAGCTCTCACTATGCGGCGGTTATGACTGCTGCCTCTTTTCTTCTTGGGTTGGCCTCCTTGGCCCATGGACAACCTCTGATGAAGATTTGGTCACAATTGTCTTGGTTTCCATGAGCGGTGGTTAGACCAGATGTTGGGCCGCTGTTGATTCTTGCTTCTACTTGGGCCGAGTCTTCCTCCTTTGGGTTTCTCTTGGGCCCTACTTTTGGTTACTAGTAGGCTTCTCCATCTTTGGACCTCATCTTTATCATGAAAACTTCATATACTTCTTTGCATAGCTTTTTCGGTTCTCCAGAGTTCTCCAATGCTTGATCCATATCCTCTTAGGTCGTATTGTACCTTAAAAAATAAAATAAAAAATATCAAGAAGGTATCAAAGAGTACAAAAACACATCTTAGGTTTATTAAATTCTCATTGATAAAATAGTTATGATTAACATATGGAATACATGAGAAAAGACTAAAGATGCATTGATAGAAAGGGGAAATGTACCAAATGTGGAAGTATTAAACAATATAAATAGAGTATCATCAGAAATGCCCCACACTTGAACTTTACTTGTCCCCAAGCAAACACTACTCATAACCATACAACTCAATGAACCCTAGGAACCATCACTCTACTAA